TGTATCAGTTCAGGTTTTTAAATATCCAGAGTGGGAAACCGAATAAAGTGTTTCTGTATGCATAGTGGTGTACACAATTGAAGTCAAATTACGTTAGACGGACATGTGTTATTGTAACAGTACATATATTGATATATATAGCCTATAGTAGTGTATTAGGTTTGAGTTAAATGGAAGAATGTTGAATTGTTCACTATTGATACGCTTTTTCTTTCCATTATTTGATGAGATATCCTAAGTGTATCAAATATCCAACCATGAAAAGTTTGAAATCATTATCCTATTAATACATGAACTTTTGAACTATACTCACATTTTTGAATAATCTTATTTGGAAGAGGTTTACAAGTACGTCAGACATTTGTGAATGTAAGACAGTAGAAAAATCGTAAATGAACCGGCCTGGACGTGAGTTACAAGAGATGCACACTGCACTAGAGAACGAAAGAATTAAATGGATTAGAATGGAACTCGAAATTGTACGAAATGAAGAACCTGATAGAAGAATTCATTACGTTAGAAATGAGTTAAATGCTGCACTACAACAGGAACGACATGTTGCGTCTACACCTAGTGTTCCAGCAGCTGGAATTTTAACTACGACAGTATTTCAATCGATAAGGGAATACATTCATATTAATACGTCAGAGCCTCTCATGTACTGCTTGCGGTTGTAGGTTGAAACTTTAGAAAAATGTTGTCTATGGCCTTCAAAAGGAAATTGCAGCATATCTAGATGTTATGGTATGTGAGACATGTTCTTATCATGCTAGCAAACAACGATCTAGTTTTCATGTTTTAGAAGATGAAAAACTTCCCGTAGATTCCGTGCCATTGAACATGCTTCAGGATAGTGTTACTAATTATTTAATTAGTAAAAAAGTTATATTGAAGAAACAAAAAACATTTTATACCATGACCGAAGAAGAATTAATTCTTAATCGCTTGCAAAATATAGTCGATATAGAACAACAGAATATGAATATTTGCCCAACACATCGTTATACATATGGTACGAGTTTTCGGATACACAATCATTGTTACCGTCCGGATCAGCAGAACGAAAGACAATCGAAGAAGAAAACTTGTAAAGTTGCAACATTACAACGATGCAATAATATTCCGTCGTTTCCTATTGGTGGTAAACCGTGTTCGAAACATCGCACTAAAATGTATGCGCAAGATAATCTTACGACTATTTCACAACCGTCGATACTGAACACTATGATGTCCGCACCAGGTTCTACTGCTTCTGCAGCAAGTGCTGAAGAACGTGTGACAAGTCGAGGAAAAGCTAATAGTCTACTAGCAGTAGCTAATCTCAGCCCACTTCGCAGTCAATCCACAGATCCATTGGAAGCACAAGCAAAAGGTTCAATCAGAAGACTTAAATCTAAATTTATCAATGCACTTCAAGGTGTTGCAACAACATTAGCCGATTCAATGGCACCAGGTGAAGGTAACACACTTATTAACGGGTGTTTCAGAAATAAACGGACTTTTTTAATTTTGCTATAACTTTGTCAGTTTTCATCCAATCGACTTAATTTTTTTTTTATTAGATTCCTCTTGAAATTCTCTACAAAACCAGGTGTCTTTATTAATGAAGATAGTTTCCGTTAATTTTTTTAAACGATGCAATCGATTGGTCCAACTTTCACAACTTTTTAAAACTGTTTCTGGTCTAATTTTTTTCACACATCGTTTCAGTTCTTCAATTAAAGTTTGTTTTGATCGTACAACATTCCAATTAATTTGTTGTACAAATTCAGTCCATACACTATAGTCCAAAGGATTGAGATCAGGACTATTTGGTGGCCAACGTTGTTTGTCGATTATTGCAGGCATGTTATCGTAACACCATTTCATTGAATGTTTGTCCGTGTGTGGCCTGGCTCCATCCTGCTGGTATGTCCAGTCATCTCCAAATTGTTTATCATCGTATTTTTTAGGAATTGGAAGTACTTCATCAATGTATCGTTGATGATTCATGGTACCATTTTCAGAAATTACCAATGGTGTAATTCCTTTCGAACAAGCACCTAACCACACCATGAATTTTCCTGGAAACTGTTGTTTTTGCTTGATTCCACCGTTAGCATCAGCTTCAGCACGATCTACTGCCCAGATTCTATCATTTTGCCGATTGTACATACCGTCCAGATCGAAGTATTTTTCATCAGAAAACAATATTCGTAAAGTTTTTGTTTTATCGAAATTGTTCAAAATCCAGTTTGCAAATTTAATTCTCTTCACTTTTTTAAGATCGGTAAGAGCCGGTTCGACACGTTTCTTGTTAGCCTTCAATCCGAGATCATCTTTAAGCATTCGAAACACCGAAGTTTAAGAAACGTTCAATTCCGCAGCCAGTTTTCTTATTGATAGTCGTTTTTTCCGTTTAAGTCGACTTTTGACTTTCTGAACCATTTTTTTTGATCCCGCAGTACGTGTACGGCCAGGAGGATACGATAGCTGAATTCGCCCTGTCTTGCTGATCATTTTTTTTTGCACCATTCGTAAACTTGACTTCTTGAAATACCTCCCTTCAAATCACGGAATATTTGTGCTGGTGTTATTCCTTTTTCATGTTTATAAAGTACCAGTTTCTGCAAGTCATTACTTTTCATTTTCTAAAAAATTAACTTCCCACTAAAAAATTAACATTAAGATCTAAGAAAGAAAGACACATGGTTTTGTAGAGAATTTCAAGAGGAATCTAATAAAAAATAATTAAGTCGATTGGATGAAAACTGACAAAGTTATAGCAAAATTAAAAAAGGCCGTTTATTTCTGAAACACCCGTTAGTATGACTGGGGTTGAGAATTTGGTCAATCCAAGAAAGAAGTTACCATCGTTAGATGTTGATAGTGCACTGGTCAACTCTCTACGAGATATGTATGTAGACTATGAAAAACAAGGTTTACCTTATCAAGAAAAAATACGTATATTGTCGCTTTTACCAAATGACGGGGAATATGAACAAATCATGAACAAGTTTGGCTGCATACGTCATCGGCGTATCGGTCCGTCACTTACAGAACCCTTCATTAGCTGGTTAATTGAAACGGATATGATGGTCTCAGTACCTTGGGGATATAGTCAGTTAAAGCTTGACACTGGTGAAAAATTGTCAATTCCAAAGCAAATCATTCAAGCGAAAAAGTCTCACGTTATATTACAATACAAACAACATTGTCTTCAAAATAATTTTACACCATTATCAGATCGTACATTATTTTATGTCTTAGACAATTTAAACGTGAAAGAACAGAAAAGTTTATCCGGTATGGACGACTTTGTCAAAGGAGCAAGAGACGGTTGGTTGTTGTTAGAAAATATTATGAAAAAGTTAAATATTTCGCCAAAAGAATGAAAAAGATATACCGATGGAGTAACTAAAGCAAGTGTTTATCTAAAACCGCGTTTTCGTACTCATTGTAGTTCGAGCAGCACAATAAGTTCACATTGCACCGTTTTTGCATTAAGTCAATCTGGTAGTTCTACTTATAGCGAACAATGCGATCATGAACATAGTGATTATTGTGAAGATTGCATTCAAATGGCTAATCTATTAGACAACATCATTGCATCTATTAATGAACTTACCAATACAGAAGAAAGAAATGAAGTATTGTATGATTTTGATCAAGCGCGAGGCAATCATTGAACAATGTCGGCATGTATTACGTTCAGTTCAACAAGACGCAGCAAAAGCCGAAGATATCAAAAATTTGGATGAAGAAATAGCATATCTCACCATCGACTGGGCGCAAAAGGTCCTTCCTCAAGAGTTTAGAGAAGGACAATCGAAATATTTTGGAAGACGGGGATGTCCGTTTTGATTGCATCCAACTGATACG